TATATATATATATATATATATATATATAAGTTATTGAATATTGCAGCATGCATTTTGTGCATGTTTAAACATATGAGCTTTTCTTTGTGTTTGCTGCTCATCATCATCATGGTGTGCTTCTTGCTGCTGCTGCTGCTGCTGTTGCTGTTGCTGTTGCTGTTGCTGCTCCTGCTGTTGCTGCTGCTGTTGCTGTTGCTGCTGCTGTTGCTGTTGCTCGTTCTGTGGCTTTAATGCTGATTGTAGTGGTTGTTTTTGCTGCTGTTGCTGCTGCTGTTGTTGCGCTGCTGCAGGTTGGTTGTTTTTTGCTGCAGGTTGCTGTGCAGCAGCAGGAGCAGGTTTCTGCTGCTCTCCCCCAGCAGCAGGAGCAGCAGGAGCAGCAGCAGCAGACTTTTGTGCATCTGCTTTTTGTTTGTCTCCTTCTGTCTTTCCTCTAGATAATCTTCTTAGACTAAGACTTGGACTCTTTTGTCTCTCTACTGTATTTGCTGCTGTTGCTGCTGCTGCTGCTCCTTTTCCTCCTTTTCCTTCATCCTTAGACTTTCCTTTTCCTTCCTGTTTCCCCTGCTGCTGCTGCTGCTGCTGATTGCTGCTGCTGCTGCTGCTGCTGCTGTCTTTAATAGATCTATATCCATTATAAATATATTTACCTGTTTGTGTGTCTCTGCCTATAGCGTTATCAAATGTTTCTTGTGTTTTTGCTGCTTTTGCTGCTGCTGCAGCAGCTTCTTTAGCTGCTGCAGCAGCAGCAACAGCAGCAGCAGGACAAGATTGCATGCAAGGGAATTCATCAGTATAAACATTTAATAAAGGGTTAGCTACCCCCCATAGATCATAACCATTATATGTATATTTATATAATTGTTTATCTATTAATTGTAGTGTATCTACACCTCTCTTATTATACCCCCATACCTCAAAGGAAAGTGTCTCCTTTAATAAATAATCTAAGAATTCTTCTGTAACTATTTGCTGCTGCAGCAGCTGAGTATAATTATAATCTAGCAGCAGCAAACTGTCTCCTTTTTTCTGTATTGGATCTATTGCTGCTGTAGTATATGCTGTAGCAGACAAAAAGGGACTATATTTTATATATACTCTTCTTCCTTCTTCTGCTGGATTACCCCATACCTTCCCTATCTTCACCATGTAATCTGTATACAATACATATACATATAAATCATTAGGGTTTAGGGTTTAGGGTTTAGGGTTTAGGGTTTAGGGTTTAGGGTTTAGGGTCTAGGGTCTAGGGTTTAGGGTTTAGGAGGCAAATGGGAGACAAAAGGAGACAAGAGGAGACAGTAACAGAACAACAAATACAAATAAAGACAAAAAGGAGACAAAAAAAAAAACAATAAAGGAGACAAAAAAGGAAACAGACAATAAAGGAGGCAGACAATAAAGTATTCAATATAGGAGACAGTAAAGGAGACAAAAAAGGAGACAAAAAAGGAGACAATAGAGGAGACGTACACATAGTGGTGCCTATAAGGTCTTGGGGTTTTTCTTTAATTTCTTCATCAGGCAATTCTTTGCCATCAGCAGTTACTGGATAAACCCCAACCTCCATCTATAACACATAAACCCTAAACCCTAAACCCTAAACCCTAATGCGTAAACCCTAGAGAGTAAACAGTAATTTTCAATTCCTGCTCCTTGCTCGACAAGCGAAACCCTAAACCCTAAACCCTAAACTCCAAACCCCAAAGCATCAACCCTTTAAACATAATAATACCCCAAAAAACCCTAAACCCTAAACCCTAAACCCTAAACCCTAAACCCTAATTACCTCTCCAACAGCCTTTCCTTCAGCATCAAATATTTTAACAGTTGCTGCATTCTCTATTTGATTAGCAAGAGGTTTTAGATATAATTCACCAACACCCATGAATTGACTAGAAGGGAAAGGGTCCCAATAGGGATTATCCGCAGGACGTAAATCTATACACAAACCCTAAACCCTAAACCCTAAACCCTAAAATCTTATACATAAACCATAAACACTATATACTAAACAATAAACAATAAATAATAAAGGATATAATGCGATATTAAGGCAGTGAGTTCCATTTTAGGGTTTAGGGTTTAGGGTTTAGGGTTTAGGGTTTATAAGTTATATCTACAATAAAGGGAAAAAAAAAGTGTCTCCTTTTTTTTTCTTATTAACAAGAAGGGTTAGGGTTAGTGTTAGGGTTAGGGTGTTAACAGTATAGGGAAGAAAAAAAGTGTCTCCTTTTTTTTTTCTTACTAGCAAGAAGTGTCTCCTTGTCTTCTGATTCAGCCCATTGATCAAATAATTCCCTCATAATAAATATTCTTAGCTCTAATGTTGCTGCTGGCCATGCATACACCTCAACACCTTTATAACAAACAGAGACACTTAATGCTGTTAATCGTCTCCTTTTGCTGCTGCTGCTGCTGCTGCTGCTGCTGCCACCTATTGCTGCCTCAGCTTGCAGCTTGGGCTTTAATACATAGGGAAGACCCAACTCTTGTGCTATTATGTTCGCCTCTCTTATTAATGGCAACACCTGCAGCAGCAGCAGCAGCAACAGCAACAGCAACAGCAGCAACAGCAGCAATAGCAGCAACAGCAGCAATAGCAGCAGCAGCAGCAAACGTTGACGTAAAAGTAATTCTTTGGAGACAGGAAAAAGCATAAAGAAAAGAAAGGAGACAAAAAGCGAGACAAAAAGAGACAAAAAGGAGACAAAAGGAGACAAAAGAGGAAGAAAAGGAAACAGAAGGCATAGAAGAAAATGACGTGACGTTTACACATACACAAAAAAAAGAAGCGAAAATCAAATTTTTTTTTCTAGGGTTTAGGGTTTAGGGTTTAGGGTTTAGGGTTTAGGGTTTGGGGCTTATAGAAAATAAAAAAAATATATATGTATATAAATATTACCCTTGTAAGTTGTTCATTAAGTAGCATAATATCTCCCTCTAATTGTCTCCTTTTTAATTCCTCAATCTCTATTTCTCTTTTTTTTGTCTCTAGCTTTTTTTGTTCCTCTAGGTATTCTTCTTTTGCTTTTGCTAATGCTGCCTCATCTGCCTTCTGCTGCAGCTCCTGGAGCTTCGCCTCGTACTCCTGCAGCAGCAGCAGCAGCAGCAGCAGCAGCAACAGCAGCAATAGCAGCAGCAGCAGCAACAGCAGCAGCAGCAACAGCAAGAACAACAGAAGCATTAGCAGCAGCAGGAGCAGGCCTTGCATGCATATAAAGGAGACACTTGTTACTGCATGCATGCAGAGAGACAAAAAGGAGATATTTTTTAATGCATGCATGCATATTATACATAATAACAATTGGGGCTGTTGATTGTTGCATGCAATTAGCAGCAAATTACCTCTTTTTGCTGCTGCAGCGCCAATTGTGCTTCCTGTAGTTTTTGTTTATATTGTGTCCTCTGCATAGTCTCCTGCTGCAGTTGCTCCTGTGTCTGCTGCAGTCCTGCAGCAGTTTGCTGCTGCTGCTGCATAGCTGCCTCTTGCATGCATGAATCAAAAGAATAAAGATTTAATAAATCTTTTCTTGTTTGTCCTTTTTTATTAGGAAGAAAAACAAGAAAAATATACTTTTGCCCTATTAGTAGTCTGTCTCCTGTATATACACGTACTGTCTCCCCTGCCTCTAACATTTTACCATTAATAAATGTATTATGTCCTCCTTCCTCTACTACTAATGTTGCTGCTGCTTCCTCTTCCTCCCCTCCTGCTGCTGCTGCTTGCTGCGGTGCTAGCTGTAGGTAACAATGATGGGGACTTAGACCCGAACCAGAGAGACAAACAGAGGGACAATTGTCTCCTTTTTTTCTTCCTATTGTTAATTTATTGTCTCCTCCTCCTGGTATCTTAAAGGAAAGATTACCATTTAATAAAGGATCTTCTGTTAATAATGTTATATGTGCTACATTCTCCCAATCAGGACCTATACATACATATACTATAAACCCTAAACCCTAAACCCTAAACCCTAAACCCTAAACCCTAGGAATACATGTCTGCACGTCTAGTCTCTTTCTCTCTATCTAAAAAGAATAATAATTATACTGTTGTTGCTGCTGTTACTGCTGCTGTTGTCTTTGTCCCTTTTCCTTCAATTATTTATTCCATGTTGACCCAATATTCAACAATTTAGGGTTTAGGGTTTAGGGTTTAGGGTTTAGGGTTTACCTGTGGCCTCTTGTTGCATGCGTTTTTGTGCCTCAGCTAATTTTTCTTCCCAAGATTTTTGTAGATCTTCTATTGCTGCCTCCATTGCCTTTATCTCTTCTTGATGATTTCTTTGCATTTCTTCTGTCTCCTCTGCAGATATTATACCCTTTATATCATCACCCATGCCCTGTCCTAAGCAACAGCAACAGCAGCAGCAGCACCAGCAACAGCAGCAGCAACAGCAGCAGCAACAGTGGGGAGATGCAGCAGATAGGATTGTATTCTTCCATTTGGTTGGTCTCCTATGACATTTTATATCCTAAAACTCTAAACCCTAAACCCTAAACCCTAAACCCTAAACCCTAAACCCTAAACCCTAAACCCTAAACCCTAAACCCCCATCAGATAAATATATTCCGAACCCTCCTGGTTAAACCTCATAATAATACATCGTTATGTTCCCCTCCCTTGCCTGTTCCCTTGCCTGTTCCCTTCCCTCCGTTGATTGGTTTGTATAATAGAGAATAAATAAGATTTACCTCCTTGTTGTATAAGTGCCTTAAGTTTAGCATTTTCTTCTTGTAATTGTCTAATTAATTTATCCGTAGGGTTCTCATTAATAATTGCATTATTTTTTATTGTTTTTGCTCTTTCTGCATAGCGTAGAGTACTAAGTGTCTCCTCATAGTTATTTAGATCAGGAGACAGGGCACAAATCATTGTTGTCTTGCTGCTCCCCCCTAATGCATTCTGTAGGAGACGAGTAAGCTTACTATCCCTATAAGGGACAATTATATTTTTATTATTATTATTTTCTTTATTTTTATCAGCTAATGCACTAATTACATTGCCTAATGCAGATAACGATTTATTTATTGCGCATCCTTCCTTTAGTCTATCTCCTTTTGCTCCTGTCTTCTGTGTCTTCTCTGATCCAGCTAGGTCTACCCAATTTATTATACTTGTTCTTGTTAATGAATTCCCTCCTTCTCCTTCTTCTCCTTCACGAGGTATTACTTGACGTAATTCTATACATACTACTGTATGTGCCTGCATATATACATTATATTTATTTATTTATTTATTTATTTATTTATTTTTTTTATTTTATTTATTTATTTATTTTATTCTTTATTCTTTAATTGCTTATTTAATACTATTTAGACAGATAAATACACAAAAAAACAAAAAAAAAGGATATATATATATATATATATATATTATTGTATTGCATAAGGAACAGGCCAATGGTCCAATGGTCCAATGGTCCAGTGGTCCAGTGGTCCAATGGTCTATTGGGGCATTTGTTAGGTAAGCAGGCTTAGCACCTATCTATTTGTTATATTTATACAGTATGTACATTGGAGACAAGAAGGAGACAATAAAAGGGATAGAGAGAGACAAAAAAGAGACAAAAAGGAGACAAAAAAGAGACAAAAAGGAGACAAAAAAGAGACAAAAAATAAATAGATATATTTGTTTTATTTATTAGACAAGAGGTATATAAACAAATAAGCATAATAATAAATAATAAAAAAAACAAGAAAAAGCAAGAAAACAATTAAATAAATAAATAAATAAATAAGAAGAAGATATATAAACAAGAAAATAAATAAATATTTATTTTATTTATTTCCTTGTACTTACACGACTGCTCGTTGCATTCATTAATGTCGCCCCCACTGCAAAACACAAACCCTTAGGGTTTAGGGTTTAGGGTTTAGGGTTTAGAAGGGTTTAGGCTTTATAGTTTAGGTATTAGGGTTTAGGGTTTATAAGGGTTTAGAGTTTAGGGTTTAAGACATGAAGCAAAATAAGTGGCTAAATGCAGCCTCTTAATAGTTTAGCGTCCCTTAAACCCTAAACCCTAAACCCTAAACCCTAAACCCTAGTGGACCTGTTCTGTTTGCAGTTCCCCTGTCTGTAACAGCTTGTATTTCTTCATAAGAAGAGACGGCAATCTTTGTTAAACCCTCAACATACACACCAAGTTGTTGGGACTCTCTGCAGCACACAGACAACTTTATGAGGGTTTAGGGTTTAGGGTTTAGGGTTTAGACCTTCTTTGGGCCTATCTGAGGGTTTACAAAACAGATCTTGCTAGTACTTAGGATTAAGGGTTTTCTATGACTTAGGATCCCTCCATCAGGGTTTAGTGTTTCCTAGGGTTTAGTGTTTCCTAGGGTTTAGTGTATCCTAGGGTTTAGGGTTTATATATACATAATATGAATAAACCCTACAAAGAAGATCTTGTATTAACTTACGACTAACAGTTTTGGATTTTCTAGGACTTAAGAATTAGGGTTTGGGATAAATTAGTGTTTAGGGTTTAGGGTTTAGGGTTTACTAGGGTCTATATATACCTTATATTAAGCCCTCCCTTGGGTGTATCTGCGGGTTTACAAAGAAGATCTTGAACTAATAACGACACTCTATTTATTGTTTCGTGTACTCTGCGACTTAGTGTTTAGGGTTTAGGATTTAGGGTTTAGGGTTTAGGGTTTCCTAGGGTTTAGGGTTTATATATACCTTATATTAAGCCCTCCTTTAGGTCTATCTGCAGGTTTACATAAAAGATCTTGAACTAATTACGACACCGTCTCTATAGTGTTTATAACATATTAGTGTTTAGGGTTTAGGGTTTAGGGTTTAGGGTTTAGGGTTTAGGGTTTAGGGTTTATATATACCTTATATTGAGCCCTCCTTTAGGTCTATCTGCAGGTTTACATAAAAGATCTTGAACTAATTCATTATATACCTCTAACATACTAACAGCGACCTGAAATTGTGTAACTTTTTTTCCTTTTTTTTCTTCTTCTTGTTGATGAATAAGTTGTATTCTTTTGAATATTTCTTCGCATGCAACAGGAATTATACCTTTATTTATACCATAACCAACCATTGAGTAACTTTTTCCTGCTCCTGTTTGTCCATAAGCAAATAGACAAGCATGGAAACCTTCCCATGCATTATTAAGTACTTCTTCTCCTAGCTGCCTATACACCCGAGATTGATCTGCATAATTAGATGTTTCTCCTTTAGGTACTAAATATCCATTTTCTTCTTCCTTGTATCCATCATGGGACCAATAACAGTAATCAAAGCAGAATACACGAGGAGGAGGATTGTTATTATTATTATTGCTGCTGCTGCTGCTGCTGCTGCTGCTGCTGTTCGTTAAATCGTATAATAATGTCCTATTTCCCTCCATAGCTACACAACAAACAGCCCCAATATCTAATTCCCTCTGATTAAAGGGACGAACTCTTACTGCTACCTTTACGCTACTCATTTTCTTTTATTTATTTAATTAAATAAATAAATAAATAAATAAATTTATTAATTAATTAGTTAATTTTATTTATTTCCCTCTTTTTTTGACGTTAATTCCCTTTTTTCTGCCTTTTTTTCTTCTTTTTAGTCCTTTTCCTCCTCTCTCCTTTTTTATTTCTTTTTTTCTTTCTTTTTTTATTGTCTTTGTTTAATTAATTAGGGATTTAATAAGGAGACAACTGTTGCTGTCTTGGGGGGGGCAGCAAAGTCTCTTTTTTTTTGTTTATATTAGTGTTTATGGTCTAGTTGTTGTTTAACCCTTTATTTACTGTTTCTATCGAGGGTTTAGGGTTTAGGGTTTAGGGTTAGAGAGCAACAACAACTATTTGGGGGTTTGCTGCAGCAGCAGCAAATCTTTTGCTGCTCTTTTGCTGCAGCAGAAGGAATAAAAAGAACTTTATTTCTTCTTGTATAATGCTATAAACCTGCCTCTTTTGTTGCTATTATCTACCTTATTTATTCCCTATTACTGAGGTGTACATACACTCCACCTGCAGCAGCAGCAGCAGCAAAGCATTGTCTTGCTTGGAATCAACTTGCTGCTTGCTGCACCATATAAACAGCAGCAAAAAAAACTAAATGGTGTTTTTTTCTTATTTTTTTCTTCTTTTTTCTCCCTTTTCTCCTGTCCTTTTATTACAATTAGAGCTGAAGGAGGAAGGGAAGAGAAAAAGGGTTTTTTTCTGTCTTGTTTTCCGTTAAATACTCCAGTTGAAACCCTAAACCCTAAACCCTAAACCCTAAACCCTAGCACCAGCTGCCATAGAGCAGCAGCAAGCAGCTAACATGCACCCGCTGCAGCAGCAGAGGGAAAATATTCTTTATTCTTTTATTTAACAATTAAAGGGATTAAATATTTAGAAATATATTTTCAAGCACTTCAAAAAAACCCTAAACCCTAAACCCTAAACCCTAAACCCTAAACCCTAAACCCCCGAGTCACTTTTGGGGCTTTTAAATATAAACCGCCGCATGCGCTCATAAGAAGAACTCGACACAATTGGGGCTTTTTTATTGTATTTGTTTGTTAATTAATTAATTAATTAATTAATTAAATAATTTTTGTTAACTTTTATTCCTTTTTCCTCCTTTTTTTCTTCCCGTTAACCCCCCCCAACATACACCGCAGTCTTCTCTCCTTCTTCCTTCTTTTTTATGTATATGTATTTATCTTGCTGTGTATAGGCAGTTAGTTAATTCAATTTTTTATTTGTTTTTATTTTTATTTCTTCTAAAGAAAAAAACACAAAAAATACAACAAATATTCTTCTGTTTCAGCTGCTGCTGCTGCTGCTGCTGTTGCTGCTGCTGCTGCTGCTCGCCGTGTGTGTATGGGTAGACGGGGAAGATATTCAATAAATAAATAAAAATAAATAAATAAAAGGAAAAGGAAAAATAAAAGAATAGATATAAACAGGAGAAGGAAGAAAAAAAGTAAATAATAATAATAAAAATTAAAAAAAAAGAAAAAAAAGGAGAAAAAAAAGAACAAAAAAAACAGAGA